AAGACTAATAAAGGATAGACATAGCAATTAGTAGAAGTTCCGCAATTGTTGTTAAAGTAAGAAGATTGTAGTGAGAAGTGCTATATGCTAGAATGTGATTATAGCACATTAGAACATGAAGGAAGGTATAGTATGTTTTGGAATTTGACTCTAAAAGACCTGAGTCTAAGCATCGCATCATATGATGAGAGGTCATTAGAAATGACTGATTGGTCTATGGTGGTAGTCAAAGAACTTATACTTATATTAAGTTTGTTAAGAAGAAGGAGTATCCAATAAAGAATCGAGATTGTGATTCGAAGGTCATGACTGGAAGACTAACGTGAGATAGAGAGTATGTGCACGATCGAGTATTGCTTGCAGTCAATAAGTCTAAGAGATACATGCTAATTCGAAGTAATATAGAAGATACAATTATTACATAGGATGAAGAGATAACATATGGAGTCATTATACAAGCCCTATTTTGTTGATGATTCTGGGACGTAATCATCCTAAGGGGGGAGATAATTGTAACCATCAAAAATTACTTTTTGATGGAATATTATTTTGAATGAATAATCTTAACCAAGTTATAGTATATGTCACAAGGGTTCCGTCCATATAAAGAATGTCAAAATGCGAATTATAACGAAAAAGTTATGGCCCGTCTTATGGCAAAACCAACATGACACTGCGTAAAAAGTGAATATTTGATAAAATACCTTTTAGCCTTAGATATCTAAATGAAAGTTGCAATATATGTCAAACCGAGGGCATGCATAAAAAGAACGCCTAAATCTGACTTCATATGAGGAACTTATGGTTTTTCTAACATTTGACATAGTAGTGTACAGTCCGAAATTCGAATTTTAGATCGACTCACTTTTGGCCAACTCAACCAAAATGATAATTGAAGATCTCATTAATTGGAGCTCAATGATAAAAAGACAGACGAAAACGGAGTTCGTATGTAGAAGTTATGAATTTTACACAGTCATTTAACAGTGTGATCTTCTCATACTGTTAAATTTAAAATTGGTCAATAATTAGCCGATAGAGTAAAAAGGACAGTTGTAGATCTTGTCTTTACCTACGCGTGAATATAAAGAACATCAAAAACGCATTTTGTATGCGAAAGTTATTAATTTTTAAATATTGACTATTTTACCTGCGTTCGGTGCCACGTGTTAGCACCAGACTTCGCCTTGGAGCCTACGCAAGGCTCACGACATGAGCACCCTTTTTCACGAGGTGAATCGGCCCAAACAGCCTATAAATAGAGGCATAAATCACCCCCAACTCACACCTTTCAAAATCATTCTATCCCATTACCCCCAAACCCTCTCCCCTTTCCCTAGCAACATCTAAGTGCTAGAGGCGAGCCACAGAGCACTGGAAGGCTCCAAGAAGAAGTGCTTTTGGCTCAGAGGTTCCACCCCCGTAGAGCCTGGGGTCCTAGCCAGACCACCGGTAAGTGAGTTATGCTTACCCTACTTTAAGTATAACTTATGTTTAAATTCATTATCGTTATTATGAACCTATAAACAAGATTTATTAGTGTTTCAAAGTTGTTATACTGATTGATCCACTTACGAGGATGATGTCTAAGTTGTGATTTAGTGAGGTGTTTAAAGTGGGATTTCCAAACAGTATACTTCGTATACCAAATCGAACCTACCTCTGATATGATCCTACCTGGTTGTTCCTTACTTAATAGATCCTGAAAGTAGACTTTGAGTTAATGATGAATCTAGACTAATAATTAGTCTCAATAAATATTAGATTATAAAATCTAGTGGTAATAATACTAGATTTTGTCGAAAGAAATCATATTGTTAAGAAGCGAACACTACTCGAATTTCGAGTCATCACTTTAACAAGTGAGTGCATAGTTACTTTCATCTTACACATAGATGTGAAGTATTTAATATAAATTACATGTTGTGAGTGCATAGTTACTTTTCTCTTACACATAGATATGAAATATTTTTTATATAAATTACGTGTTATGTGTGCATATTATTTGTATACTTGTTATCTATGTTGGATGAACACTATTATACATGTTTTAAATGATTTAAACTGTATATGTGTTTTATATCTACAAAATATGTTGGGTAAAACATGGGTAGATAAATGATGAGGGATGAAAGTTAATATAGTGGAACATTAGCAATATGGACATAGTGCCCTATAAGTGAACATTGGTAGCAATGCACTTAGTACCATGTAGATTAGCATTGATAGTTGCGCCACAACCTATAGATGTTTTGATCTACGTTGTACTCTAAACATCCTAGCAGTTGCACTCTAAGGATTATATTGGGAGCTGCGCCTAATAAAGAACATTAAAACCCTGGCAGTTGCGCTTAAAGGATAATATCGGCAGTTGTGCCTCATAAAGAATGTCATAATTCCAGCTGTTGTGCTTATATGGTAGTATTGGCAGCTGTGCTTAATAGATAACATTGGCATCCGTGTCATTAGCAACGATGGACTTCATGCCTATTCCTTAGGACAATCCTTAGGAATGAATGAATGAAGAAAAGTTGATTCTTAGGGTAGATCCTTAAGAGTAAAGAAGATAATGGGGATGGGTAATTGGGTTGACTGTTTGATGTTTACACATAATAACTATATAATTGTGGGTTTAAAACCCTATGTAATCACCAGGTTTCCCAACCTGACCCATTCAAGTTTTTTTGAATCATAGGTGTCAAGATGAAGCTTTTTTACACTAAGACATCTAAAAGACATGTAGATTACTAGTGTAAATGAATGTAAGTTCTTTTTATGCTTATGTTTCTGTATTGACGATGACATCCCTATGTTTTGAAAATGAATGAAAATATATTTCTTTGGAAATGCTTTTGATGACATATTTATCATGTTTTTCTGGAAACAAATTCCACAACATATTTCTTTAAAAGATACTTTGATATTTAAAAATAATACTACTAGAAAAACAACCTTTTACGACGCGCAATGTGTTTCGTAAAGCGCTCAGACGATGCACAAATGCGTGTCAAGGAAGGCCCTGTCATAACAAGAGATGACACACTTTTGTGCGTCGTCTATTTACGACGCACATTTATGACACACGTTTACAACACACAGTTATGACACGCAATGTGTATCACGACGCGCGTGTTTATGACACGCAATGCGTATTAAGGAAGCCACTGTCATAAATGAAGATGACACACAGTTTTGCGTGTCATAAAGTCAAATGTTTTAAAAATTATATATTTTGATAGATTTAGTAATTTTCAAATTAAATAACACATTAAAATCTCATAATACAAAATAAAATGCAATAAATAACAAAGATAATTCATTTCATTAATATGCAAATACAAATAATTGTTCCAATAGTGAGTAAATGTAATAAAAGAAATGAACTCAAGAGAAGTTGAATTTATATACAATTGCATTATCTAGCTTACTATGTGCCAATAACTCTCTTTGTGTTTGCTTTTGCTTGAGTCTTGTTTCCTCTAAAGCTTTTAGCTATGCCAAAGTATGATATCTTAGGGTTCATGTCCAAATAAAGTATAACATTGCTAGCTTAAATTCATCAACTCCTTGGCATGAAGTCTTAGATAGATGCTTAACTGCAATATCCAATCCTTCTAGAAGGCCCTAGGGATCATTATTGGCCATGTAGCAGGATCAACCTGCCATACTAATACACCAACTTAATTAGAAGTTGAGATGCTACCTATAGGACAATCCAAAAACACATTAATTCCATGGCCTTATTGTGGATCAATAATTGCAGACACCAAAGTAATGAAAACAGATGTTTGTTGGTGACACAACTCACATAACAAATGTAGCTGAAATGGCTCATCCAATGAACCAAAAAAGAGGTAATGTGATCCAGACTTGCTTTCCTTGTTTGTAGCAAATGAACCAAATATGTGTTGATTGAAAAAAAAAACTAAGAATTCAGGCAAGGGGACTTGCTTCAACCAAGCATGATGAAGAACCTTTAGGAAAAAATCATACAGCTCCTCTGTGACCACAAAAACAAGCTATTCAACATTCTCATATATATATATATATATATATATATATATAAATATATATATATATACACACACACACACATAAACACACACACACACACATTCCAAGACTAACTTAAACTAACATACTTTATACCTCCCAGTGTAAAAATGCTATTTTTGATTCATTTAACTTTTCAAATTCACATACATACATACATATAGCTAATGTCATTAAGATATTTTTTCTTTTCTTCATTGGTATCATTTAGATATATAAATTGTAGCTTGTTCTTTAGGAATTATGTCAAATCTTTTAGGATAGATGATTCCAGTTGTAGTGTTTCATCAAGATTCCAAGAGGGTCAACTGCTAAATCTTGATGCATTGGACCAACTTTTCCAATTGCAAGAAGTGCATGAGGGGCAGTGAAATTCAGTTTATAATAAATAATTCAATAAAGATTATGTAACATGATAAAGATTTTACTTTTATAAACGTTATGGCATAAAAATATACAACATACCTTCTTGGAATTGAATTGAAGTCACCACAGACTAACATTGGAATATCTGAACTTGCAACTATCTTCTCCAATCCTTTTAACAGTGTGTGAAATAAATTGAAGTCACCACATACTAACACTGGCCACATATTTTAATAGAACATTACTACCCATCCATTTTATTCTTCCACAAAAACCTAGAGTTCTATCCAAGAACTGAGAGGGATCTACAAAAAACGAATGGAATTCATTGTGGCATTAATAATAATGATAATACAACACTTACAAAAATAATAATGAAACAACAAGACAAGACCAGATTCACTGACCTGAAATACATTCCTCTCCCAAACAGTTGCTCCATTTACAAACTTGGTGTTGTCCCTAGTGATACTTGCTTGTGCAAATACCATTTGGTCAATACATGCCCCACTTAGTGTTGTTGTAGGCCTATCCACACTAATACCACCACTCAGAAAAACCATATGCCCATTTCAAGAAATATGACTTCTTTCATCACTTGTTGTGATCTCTTCCATTACAATTCCATATGTAAACTTCCGCTTTCTCAAGGTTTGAAGGTGATTGCTTGTGTTGGGGAGACTCATCAAGAGCGGGACGCTGGAACAATTATGAAAGTTGTTGCTGCACAAACTAAGGCAATTGCAGGTGATTTGGAAATGAATATATGTTTTATTTTTCATTTTAAAATTGTTTAATTGTTTTTTACAAGGTGAAAGCAACAAACATCTATCATTTTTTTGAACTTTTTTTAATTTGCAGATAAGATAAAAAAAACTGGGATAATGTTGTCCTGGCTTATGAGCCAGTTTGGGCTATTGGAACCCGACAGGTTGCTATCCCGGCTCAGGCTCAAGAAGTAAGTAGGAGGGTATTTATGTCTTTTTGGATTGTGTTATTGTTGAGAGATTGAAAACCTTCTGAAACAGGGCTTGCAGAAACCAACAAGTAGGTTACTGTCATTTACTCTAATAGTTTGATTTCTTTCTATTAAATATTAATAATTACTAATTAATAGTTATGTTTGTATGTTGGGTTATTTATTATAGGGTTATAGCAAGTAATGAGAATGAGAGGACCCTGTTCCAGAAGAAGAAGAACAACAAGACTCAAGTGGAGAGAGGATATGGTGTGTACATAATAAGCATCAGCCAACTAAGCCCAGTGAGTGATTGATTTGATTTGTCCAGAAAATAGTTATTATATAATGTTGGTGCCTCAAGATAAAATAAACTTAATTAATATGCATTTGCATTTTGCAACAAGAAGTATGAATGATGTTATTATTATGGTCTTGTTTCTAAATAACATTTTTTCTTTTAATCTATCTAACCATATACCTAGTTGTTTGTTTCACCTACTTTTCAACTAAATTATATATAAATACTCTTTGACTTTTGATTATGTATATACCTTGAATTAATTACATGGATTTGCTTTACCTTTGCCTTATAAACAATGGTCTAGGCTTTCTGTTAAGTTTCATACATTTTCATTATAGGGGTGTCAAAAAAGAACTAACCTGATATCACATCCTGACCCAAACACGGATCGGACTAATTGGGTTGGGGTTTATTAGGGACTTTTTGTACCTTGAGGTACAAGAATAAGCTGTGTACTTTTAAGTCATTTTGAGTAAATGTATTGAGATATATGTGATGATTTTGTTATATTTGAAAGTACAATGCCTTAATCGGAAAAAAGTAGAGTACTAGTGTTGCTAGTTCTCTAAAGCATGTTCTCAGATTAGTTAATCATATTCATAGATGTGTATGTAGTTGTATAATTGGGAGAATCTAAGTGATTGAGTTGAATTTGTTGAGAAACTTCAATGCATGTGAGAGTGAGAATTATGTGTTCTAAACCCATAGAAGTGAAGACAATTTATGAAGTAAGCTCTTAACTACACACATTGAGTGTATGAGATGTAGTAATCCCATATTGGAGTAGATTACTTGGGTTAGGTGATGAAAACACTAAACCCACTATGTATATAAATTGAGGTCAATAACTAAGAAATACACAAATAATTTCCAGATCTTATCACAGTAACACTACATACAAGTAGCATTCCCATTAAGACATTTCCTCTAACGAAGAGACTGGATAACATGAAAAAAAAGAGAAAGGACTATGAGAAACAAATATACATACCTTCTGCCTCCTGAGTCTTTCATTTTCCTCTTCCAAACGTGAGATTTTGTTCTCCAGCTCATGTGTGTAAGCCTGATAAACAATACACCCTCAGAACATTCTTCTGGGTAAACCTATAGCAAGCTAGATTTTAGCAAATTTTCTATTTGAAAATGTTTATAAAAAAATAGGCAATACCTGACAATTTGTGGGCCATGAGTTTTTGCTGTTTTCTCATGCTCTTGCTCACTTAAATTAAGACTTTTGACTTTATTAGGGTCAACTTTCAGCCAATCATCTAAACCACCCTCCCCCTTTCCAGCATGAATAACAATACTGCTTCTATATTCAGGGCACAATTTTCATGTTGAAGATCTTCCTCTTCATCGTCTTCTTCATACACATCCTCCTTATATTCAGCAGTACTCCCAGATTTATAGCTGGGAATTTCACCACCCCAAGCTTCATACACTTAGCATCATGGATTCTTTTTGTAGCCAGATCACTGTCAATGTGAAGAAAAGAAAAAGTGGTGTGAGCACTTGATCTTATAAAATTACAAATTCAAGACCCCTTTCGTAAGATCCATTAAAACAAAGAAATTATAGCTAAAAAAACTTTCTTAGAGGAAATCATCGAACAATTATGGGGACCTACCTATTCATTCTGGGTACCCGCATATCCATGGCCTAGACCAATTATGGCTCTAATTCTAATGGATGCATCTTCTTTATCCAGATAATCAACAAAAAGTGCAATCACCTGAAACAACCCAACCCAAAATGAAATCACAACCAACAACGACAGGTCATGTTATTAGATTAAATGAAGTGGAAGAGAATTAAAGATCATTGAGAGATGTTGAAACAATACTGGATTTCGAATTACCCCGAAATATTTATGCTTCTTGATTGTAATTCATGAGTTTTTGTTCAATCCTCTTCCCGGAGATGAAATTGAACCAACCTGTTGGACTTTTATGTGAAATGAACTCTTCGTTTAGGCTAGCTAATCTCCTACAGAGTACTGGATATTTTTTCCCTTCCTCTACTCTCCTATAATACAACCTGAATTCCACTTCCAAATTGCCAATGAAGAACACAAAATTTGAATTTGGATCCGAAAGAAATCAAGAAGATTCAGATGAAGTGCAAATGGAAATTGAAGGTACTAGGGCCGTCGATGAAATGGAGGAGTGGAGAGCTGAGAAGACATGTGAGATGCCATTTTTGATTGGAGTTTGGATTGAAGGTGATCGGTGTCTGCTAAAATAGCTTCAGTATACTTCTCTTCTTGTTCCATGTATACATCCATGTGACGCATCACTACTTTATCGTTGAGATTGGATATCCAACTTCAGTAAACTAAATACCTTTATTGTTACATCTAAGAATGTTTAGGGAGATGTAGAAAGGCAGAGATAGAAGGAGATAGCGAGGGAGGGCGACATACGACAACGACAATGAGAGAATTAGGAGAGTAAGGAGTCACATAACCTTCAATCGAAGTTGTTTTGAGTGAGAGGAGTCGCTGGATCTCTCTGAACAATTTATTGAGATGTGGTTCAAAGCCCTAGTTCTTTTCGTCGAATGGCGCTAATGAAAATATATAGAGACTTGGCGACATCGTGGATAGAGAAGAGACAGAGTAATGTCTAATGGCGCTAATGAAAACATACGAGACAAACACTATTTATAGAATCCATGGCCGTTTAGAGCTGATGGGGTTCAATGCTGGTGATGGCGGCTTAGGGCTTGCAAAGAGAAGGGAGAGAGAGTGCAGATCAAGGTACAGGAAGATCGGCTGCTTCAAAAAGATTGGCAGCCTCACAATAGAATTAAGGTTCTTTGTTAGAGGATTGTAAAAGGAGAGAAGCATTAGGCGGGTGTTTAATTTTTTTGGATTTCATTTCCCACCATCTCCAATTAAGAAAAAGCTAGAACGCGCCTTCCTAAAAAAATATAAAACAACATATTTATACGACACACTTTTTATGGTAGGTGCCCTATGTGTTTTTTTGCACATTAATTTTAGGGAACGCAAAAATGTGTGTCCACTATCCTTTTCATTTTGCAAAGCTGACATTATTTTTTAGGGCACGCACAAATACGCTTCCTTTATCAACGCGTGTCATTGTTTGCGCGTCATTAAAGGGTTGTTTTCTAGTAGTGTAAAGCATAAACGAATCGGTCTTTTCTGGCCGAGAAAATGAGGATGTCACACTCTCCAATGTAGGATTTCCCTTTACACATGGGTTAGATGGTCACTTCTCTTCTTTCACTTCCCTTGTTGAATAACCATGACTGGGGCAGTTTCAACACTATCGGAATGAGACTTCTTCATTCCTGCTTCATCTGTTTGTAACATAATATGAATGTCAATCAATATGGTCTCAATATTGTTCTAATGATAAGTAAAGATGAACTGGTCATAACTACTAGGAAAGGATTTGAGCACCATGTCAATGGCAAGCTCCTTGTCAAAGTTCACATTGAGCTTTTCCACTCTCTCCACGTTCCTTTACATTTTCTACACATGTGCTCACATAGATTACCTATCTTTCAATTTACATGCAATAAGGGCCTTGAAGAATTCATAACACTCTTGTCTAGCTTTCTTGAGAAACATCTTAGAAAGAGTCTGATTCATTTCATAGGGCCAATGGTCCATATAGGTATTTTTGGAGCTCATTTGCCATGGTTGCAATCATAATGCAAGCGACCTTTGTAGTGTCATTAACGTGTTGGTTATATTCAACCAATTCTTGAAGAGTAGAATTTTGTTTGTTCGTTTCTTGGAGAGGAGTTTCGAGAACATATTCTTTGCTCTTACATCTCAATGTCATCTCTAAATTACGTAAGCAGTCTACATAGTTTGGACCAGTAAGCTTGTCTATTGAGAGGAATGACAAGTGAGTGAAGTTGTGAGTGGTTGGAGGAGGCGGAGGAAGACCCTCATTTCCAAACATCTAAAATAAGAGATAATATTTTAGTTAGTTTATATATTCCTTAATATTTTGATCCAAATAAATATTCAAGGCTAGGATCCATAAATACAATATGAAATTCAAAAGAGGGATTCCACAATCTAATTGCGAATTTATTTAAGGTAGGTAAATAAATTTACTAATTTCAATATAATATGAAATTTCTATATCATTTGAGATTCATTGAACTGTTCAATGATGTGTTTAATCTCAGATTTTGCACTTCAATTTGTGATTGGGATGTCGAAAATAACAAACAAAAAGTGAATAACCATGCAAACTCACAAGACATGCTCGAAGTTATTGATATCACATTGATGTGCTAGTTATCCACACACTCTCCATTAACAATCATAAATTTGAATATGCCCCATCATTTCAACTTTGTAGTACCCACATTAGTGTGTTGGTTAACCACCCACGCTCCACTGATGGCTTGAAAAGAAATGATTTGCGTTTTTATGAATTAGCATACAATTTCACATTTTTCCTAAATTAACTAGAGTGAGATTTTATAGAATATTCTAGTACATGAAGCATTATAACTTTAATGTGATTATTATCCTATCAAACCCGTTCAACTAACGACCCACAACAACACAAAGAAGCAGTGGGTGAAAAGGACACCCATTCAACGACCATTTTATAGGTCGTTTCCATATAACTCTCTTATAAATCGGCTTCGTGAATGAAGCCTACTAAAGCTTTTTAGTGATATATATTGTATTATACTCTTATACATATATATAGAGTGTATTTTAATACTTTTTCAAAATGCATGATTTAAATTTCATTATCTAAAGTGTAACAATTAATCGATGTATCTTTTAAACCAATGATGGATTTGATATTTATCTTTTAATTAGATTGTTAGTTAAATATTATATTAAAATACTTTAAGTATAATTCCATTTAGTAATCTTAAAATTATATGTTATCTTTCTTTATTTACTTCCTCAAAGTTCAAATTAGGATTCAAAATTATCTAGCATTAATTGGTTCAGATTTTATCAGATAAAATTACAAGTAATGACTAATAATTAACCTAGTAATCAAACTAGGCTCGAAGATTTCGGAAAAACGAATTTTTTAAAAGACATGTCACACCTAGTGCATCGCGCCCTTCGATAATTTCATTTTGTTTTTCTGGTTTCATCTTTTATGCACTAGTAATTGAAAATGCATGACTCTGATAACACTATTGGGGATTTTTTGGTTATGATTACATTGTACATGCAAAATTTCACTTAACGCTTAAGTGTATATGCAACCTAAAATGGGTCTACGTCTTTTCTTTACTAATAGCAATATATTTATGAAATAAAAACTAGAAACCATATGATATCTAAATCTTGAGTAGAACCACATACCTTTGCTTAAACCAAATTAAGATAACCAAAACACTTGAAGTCTCCTTGGAAAACTAACTCCAAAAGTAAGGGTAACCTCGAATGTGTCACACCCAAAACTCAAGGAAACTCTAGGATTGAATATGAGAGAGGGGAGAAGGGAGAAATATGATTTCTTGAGGTATGAAAGCTATGAACGTATTGGTCTAAGGAAGAACCATATTTATATTTGCCAAATACACTAGAAACCTTAAATTTGAACAATAAAATAATAGTATTTTATACATATTCAAATTATGTTTCCTTATTTGAATGGTCTTCTAGAAACCCTAAAGAGGAGCTCCAAAACCGTCCACCTCATGGAAAGTTTTAGATTGTCTCTTTTTCTTAACCATTGAACAATGACAGTCCAACCCTTGTACCTCGAATTCATTCTAATTGACCCATAATGAATTCAAAATTAATTCAGGTGAATTCTTAATTAACTATTACTATTTTTAATTAATATATTAATCATATAATATATTAAAAATCATTTGTCTCTCTCCTATAATAAATCCATGTCGTTTCCTGGTTATGAGGGCAACCCAAAACGGATGTTACTTTTATTCTTCAACATTATACCAATTTAGTTAGGACCTTATTCACCTCAATCCTATAGGTACAAGTTGTGATATTCGTCTAACACCTCCTAGCACTTACATGATGGTTGGACTTGTGTGCAGTCAAATGGCTAGTATCACTCTAGTCCACAAATACCAATGTTAGATGTAGCACGAGCATCTAGAAAGGTTGAGTAATTCTTTAACTGCATAAGCTCTTTTCCCAAAAAGTGTTTCTCAACCACCTAGGCTTGTAAATATCTAGATAGTGTTTCAAGCTAAGTGATAGGTTCTACCCTTTCCCTCTATGCATAATCCCACATAGTCGATTCTAAATCAAATACATGCTAGCAATATTCATGTAATCATAACTGAGTATGATAGACAACATTTAGTAGGAGACCTTATCAAAAGCATAATCAAATATTAAACATTTCATAGTTGCAAATAATCGTATCATTTACCCAAAATAGGCATATTATCTAAGTTTAAAAATCATATAATTTTCACAAAAGGCAAAACAATAGCATATCTTAATAGCACATATTTACATGATAAAAATAGATAATCTCCTAATTTGACTAACCGGGCTATTTCTGGAAGGTTATT